ATCCAGAAATCATCAAAATTAAGTTTGATGAGAGATATCTAACAAGAAAGTTGGGTTCTTTCTTGGTAAATATAACTTGATATTTAAAGCTGCATGTTATTATATCATTAGATATCACTTAACTTTATGTTTCATCAGTATTTTTGCTTGCTATGATATATATTTATAGCAAAATAGTGATAAAACAAATTAAGATAATAATGAGTCAAGTGCATTCAACAGTGAATAATCGCTATGCTGCTATATTAATATAAAATCATTCATAATATTTATAGGTTGTATTAATTGTATGCATGAGTAGAATTTGAAGAAAAATTTAAAGATTTATACAATCACAAATATGTAATTTATGTAATTTATTTTGTTAAATTTAAATAAATATTATTTATATTGCTATGTAACTTTATATAATTTTATATAATTATTAATTTATTCAATTTAAATTTAAATAAATACACATTAAATAAAAATTATATATAATTCTATATAGTTATATAAATGAACTTCATATAAATATTATTTTTGCAAAAATTTAAATAAACATTAAATAAAAATTATTTATAATTCTATATAATTATACAGTCAGACCTCGATATAATCACCAGGTTGGAAAACAAACATTTGGTAATTATAAAACAGTGTGACTATATCAAATTTTATATATTTTATAATATCTAGAATTAAGAAATAATGTGATTATAACAAGGTTGTGACTAGTGTTCGAAAAAGTCAGCATGGATCGGATTTGGATTTGTGCAGATCTAAACCATCAGATTAGATTTGGCTTCTGAAACGTCAGATTGGGCTCGAATTGAGCGGTATTGGGCCTAATTTTAGGTCATGTCTTTATATAATCACTTTATGTGATAAATTTGAATTTGTCATGTGATAAATTCGAATATATCACACCTTGTGCCACAATATAAGTGATAAATTCACATTTGTCACATGATAAATTCAAATTTATCACTTATATTGTGACAAATTTATGTAACAAACTATTGGATTGGCACGGATCTGGTTTTATGCTAATTGTTACGGCAAGTGTCGTAATCATGTTGATCTTATAAATGAAAATTAATGTCAACTATTTTTACATATACTATATGATACACACTGACTATCGAACTAAAGCCCTAGAACACAAATGCGCAGTTCACAAGGCAATCCCGAAAGTATCCGTAAAATCAAGAAAGGAATGATCTACAATCACGCTGACCAACAAAATGCAAGAGTTTGTGTACGTACATCATCGAAGATGGTTGTAAGCCATACTCTTCGTTTCACTTCCGTAAAACTCCGTTCCTGGTATAGATCCTTATTCCCAAGTAAGCATTAAATTTTTTATTTTTTTTTTGCATATTAAATTCTCATTAACTCATATTAATATTTTTATTCATTTCTCTTACCTAATATTTGTAATCAAGTCACTTTGTTATACTGTATCTGGTCAATATTATAGTGTATATATGTATGATCGCTTCTGTAAAGAGAAGCCAAGAGGAACCCGTTCAGTAATAAGCATAATGGTTGTATTGCTCTCCATTATAAAAACCACACTCTTTTTGTAATTCATTAATGATTATGGTCTTAAGCTAAATTTGACAATGAAGATCATTAGCTCTCCTCAGACCGCAACACTGTACAAAAGACCGCAGAGTCTACGAGCAGTTCTTAAGGAAACTGTTCTTGAGTTACTAATCTAAAAAAATTTGCCAATCATGTGCAACCAAACGGAATCGTGACATTTTTTTCACATGACCAAAGTACGATTATTTAGTTTTGTTTACATTTCCGTAACCTCGTGTAAAATTCTGAAGGTTTTTGAGAAGTTTGATTTTAAAAGATGCCTTCAATTCGGTCTTATCTTTTTTTTTTTTTTTGTTATTGTTGTTCCGCCAATTTGTATTTTCAATAAATCAATTATTAAATTGAGATGAATAAAATATGGTCAAGAAGTCACAGATCGAATGATTGCAAGAAATCACAAATTTAAAGAGTTATCCATTGTCACTGGGTAAGTGACATTTCCGAAAATTAAGAAATGACTGCATTATAAAATTACGTGACCAAAGATGACGCTCTGATCGAGGTTGTGAAATTTTCATTTATCATTATACCATTGAGGCTTTGAAATCGTATGATACATAATGGGAATGAAAATGAGCTACTGAAAGAGGTAAGTTATAGTGTAAAATGGCTTAGTATAACGCGTATACTTATGCCTCTTTATTAGTTCGTTAAAGTTATTTAAAGGTGTAACTTGGGTAAGGATGGTTACGACACTTATGCAAGAAGTAAAACACATAAGAATCATAATTCCCTTCTTATTACAATATTCCAGGTGTTGACAAAATCACGGTATAATTTGCTAGTTGTATATCACACACTAACGATAAAACTAATTTAATTTGCTATTAATTCTTATGTTAGTTAAAAGTATTATTGAAAGACTTGAAAAATCTGGGTAAACGAGTGATTTTTGTATGCATAATTTTATTTATTTTATTTATCTTATTATTTATATTTCTATTTAATTGTAGATTTCAAAAAGAAAAAGAATAAACACGGCTGGATTTCAAATAGAAAAAAAAAGCAAAAAAAAAATTTTTCAATTGCCATCGTGAACTCATGTATAAAAATCTGTGATGATATTTGAAAAGGAAAACTTGAGAATTTAATTGGGCAGATATGATTAAAGAATTGCAGTTTTTATTGAAATAATTGGAAATATTTGGGTGATTTACCTATACAAACCAACTTTTCATCGGCAAAAATTGTATTTTTTTCAAAAAAAAATTTAGATTTATAATTTTTTAAAATAAACTAAGGCAAATCATGTAAAATCGAATCATTTCACTAAAAATCAAATCGTTAAGTAAATGGTTAAAAATAAGTAATATGATAAGCTTGTGTATTTTTAAACAAAATCTTGAATCTTGGATAGTTTGTTTTAGGTAGTGTAGTTTATCAATCTCGGAAAGTAAAATATGATTTTTTTTTGATTTAATTTAATAAGCAATCCTATTATTTAAAATTAAAAATTTTAAATTTGACTTTAACAATGCTTTAGATTTAATTTTATATTAATTTGTAAGAATAATGATTATAACTTATTTAGTTATTGAATTATATATTTTTTGAAAAATAAAAAGATACTCAAGATGTTGAAGCAAAAAAGCTGCTCCTCGGAACCTATTATGATAATACAGTTAGTCAGCTAAACTTTGCATTAAATCGTTATGGTGCAAACCATCTAAATGCCATCCAAAATTGCTACTCAATGAATATTCCAAATTTCACAAAAACAACACGTAGATCTATGGTTCTGTATAATATCTATCAAGCTACATACTGTTTGTAATATTCGTTGGGTAGTAGCAATTTTTAGAAAAACGTAACAAAATTTTAGAGTGGATTATGTGTTGCAAGCAATAATTGGACCGTGAAGTCATATGAACAAGTTTGAAGGCTCATTAAAAAAATTTTTGAAACTAGACTTTTTGTTCGACTCCGTGGCGTTAGTGTCCAGAATTCTGTGGTGCATAAATCCGCTCGCTCTAAAAATATTTTTTTGTATTTTCTCCGTAAGATAAACGTGACTTTAATTATTTTTAAAACCAAATACAATACCAAAAAATATTTTTAGGACGAGCAGATTTATGTACCGCAGAATTCTGGACACTCTACATGGCGTATATGTAATTTGCAGCATTCTTTGGTCTTTAATGGTTCGTATCATAGGCCGATAATAGTCAAACCGTGTAAAATAAAAATTAGAGGTAATAAGTGAACAATTTTACCATAAAAAAATGAGTCACACTGAGTCGATTTCAATGGGCAAAATCCAATCACAGAATTTTAGAATTGTTAACGATTTTTGTTACTTTAATGTTAAAAAATAGATTAAACTAATTTCTTTGCCTATTACATAATATCATTGTTAAATCTTAGTTATTTTAGGTTTATTGGAATCATCTCAGTAAGTCGGTCATTTTGATCCAAGATAAAATATAAAAGATATATTAATTAAATTAGATAAAATAGCAGGGCTAGACATATAAAAAGTCCAGTCCAATAAAAGACTGGAATAAGTTCAACGAAACCCCGCATTATGTTACATAATCGTGTTAACGTTCGATCGATCAGTCCATATATCATCTGCCTTCTATCATCGCCTCCTGCATCAGCCAGCCCCCTTACATTGATGCAGTGCTCCTTACAACAACGTACTATGGGCTCCCGAGTTTCTCACAATGTGTTCGAAATCCTTATAATCGTTCGAAGTCTGGAATCACGATCAGTTTATCGGATAAATTACAAAAATCATCATCATGAATGCATATGATCATTTTTGCGCTAACAATATTGATATTGTTCATAAATCAATCATATTATTGAATAACTGGATAAATCCTCTGAATATTCAAATTATATTTAGAGATTGGGCCTTCAAATATCCTAATTAATAACAGAATAGGGGTATTTAGACAAAGCAAACCAGCCAAGTTGTATAATTGTATTCAAATTGTATTATTATATGATAGTATGATCTAAAATTAAAATTTTAGATTATCCGGTTGTATTATATTAACTATACTAAGTTCATAATTATTTCGGAGAAAACGGACTTATGTGTAATCTTAGATCTCTTTTGATCACCGAAATAGAATTCAATAGAATTTAATTTATGCTATAAAAGGTGATAAATTGAACAAAAACAAAAAAAGGTGACTTTTTATCCGATGTCATTGTGACTAAATTTTATCATTACAGTGATCAATAAGGAACCAATATTATCACTTTCCGCAACTACTGTATGATATATTAATCGGGAAGCTTGAAACAATTATACTTTTTAGTGTACCCCTGATATAAATTTAACAATCACTTAATATAAATAAAAGATAAGTTTTTTTTAGCGACTGTTGAACTTTCACCTGAAAGTTCATTTTACATAACGATAAAATAACTCGCAACATTTTTACTGTATTAAAAAAATGATTATACCTGAACATATAAAAAACCTTGATCATCAAACTCAACCTCAACAATCATGTCAACTTTGTTTAAAATTTCTCCAATATATTATCGATCACGTCCGAGACCGAGACGAAGTTCAGAATGAAAAAAATTATTTGCAATGTTCTGAATGCAACTACAAAGTATTTAATGATACATTCGCTATGCATCAGCACAAACGCGATAAACATGGTATAGCAGTATGTAAACTATGTGCAAAAGAAGCCAAAGATTTTAAGAAGTTTTTATGTGAAGACCACACCGACCAAGAAAAAAAGGAAGAAGAAAGTAACAAAATGAAAATTGCTTTTTATTGTGAGCCTTGTAATAGAGTTTTTTTAAGACTTGAGGATATTAGAAAACATGATCGTGCAAAACACAGTAAAAAAAAGGTGAAAAAGTGTCTATTTAAATTTGTTTGATTTGCTTTATTTTTTTTTTTTTTGCATTAGAATTTTGAAACTTGTTAAATCATTATTTTTTTTTCAAACTATCTACTTTTAATAATAAATTGAAAGCTTTGTATAATATTATGTAGTATCCGATACTTGTTTAGAGGATTGGTTATCTTTAAATTTACTAACATTTTATCGAAACGAACTTTGCTAAGCCATATGAAATTGTTGATTACTTTTCCTTAAAATGCTTAAAGCATAAATTTTGACTAACATCCCTTAATATTATTATATGCACGTGTGTACGTCTGTTATTTTAAGTCAATAATTTGAGGCTGCATTTAAAACCCTTGAATGAGTATCGTAATAATTTATGATATTTTTTTTAAAAAAAGTAATTTCACAACATTTTGCCGTTACTAATACAACCCATGAAAATTAATTTCGTCATTAAGAAAAGCCGACTTCATCAGAATAACTTATTAAATGTACTATCAATTATCGATAATACTGTAATAACGGACTCTCCAACACCGGATTCATTTTAATAGGAAATTTAGAACGACGTAATGGATCAATAGTAATAGTAAAAAGCCATATCATGTATAATCGACATTTTTGCCAGTCCATTTACTAATCGTTTTTTATTTTACTGAAAAAAACAAACCAAAAAAAAAGAGGAATTTATCTATTACCAGAGAATATAACTGATAA